CCTACACGACTCCACAGGGGGCTGCTTCCGAAACTTCATAAGTGAATTCTGCAGAGAATGTAGGTTTTTGCCTTCTAGTACCTTGGTTCTTTCTTTAGGTGAACCTAAGCATGTACCAAGAATGGCAATGACATTAAGAAAATCAACTATATGTTTGAGTGTTTTCAGATTTGAGTGAATTGCTTTTCAGTCTCATTGACTCTTTGTAGTATTTGGAACAAATATATGGGAATGGTTTTCCTTTTCAGTAAACTCATTACTGCAATTACTCTTTCATGCCCCTTGTTTGTTTTTCTGAAATGTTCCCTGTTTCCTATTCCAGGAACCTTCCTATGCCTCTTGCGATCCTTTTTTTCCACTTTTTTTCTTTATAGTCCCTTTTTCCAAGCTCTCTAAGTCCCTAATCCCTTTCTAGTTTTAGTAGCTTAGAACTAAATCAAATAGATGGATAAGTGAAATTTTTACCGTGTTCCTTTTTATTTATTTATTCTTTTGTTACCTCATCCTCTGCAAACAGCTTCAGAGTACTGAGGTGTGAGTTGCTAAATGTATTTTGTTTTGGAAGCAGTTAATGAATTTATGACCCAGCATGTCTCATCTTGGTTTTGCCCATGCTATATTTAATCAACATGCTCTCCATTCAACAAGCTCTTTAATAGTTCTTCAGTTGTTCCCATCTTTACTGAGATAAGATTCTGCAAGGTTCGCTGCCTTTTTGACCTCATTTGCTGGATTAGGCCTAAGCATTAATAGTGTCCAGTACTAACTGCTTAATAAAGGGAGAATAGACATGGATTTTATTTTTATTTTCCTATTTTATGTGTACCTTTTTATTGTCAAAAACTCACCCCTGTTTTTTGACTAGTTAAAGCCTTTTTGTCAAAGCTTGGGGTTGGGGGGCTGTGGGGTTTTTTTTAAGATGAGAGGAATTGTGGTGACCTGAGTTTCTTCACCTGCAGTTATAATTAAAGGTTCAAATAATTCCTGATGGTGTAGAAGTGGTGATTTTTCTTTATGGTATTCAGTCTCACTTTTCCCCTCATACCTGGTTCATATATGTGCATAAGTTGTACTTCTAAGAATTACTCCTGTACAGTTGTTAATGTTTTCTTGCCTTGCTGGTGTTTATATAGGAATGTGAATGAGTTGTCTGAATCTATAGCAGTTGCTGTACTTTCCATGCAGTGGCAGGAATTTGAGATTCATGTTTTCACTTCTAGTTCTGAAAGCTTGTTGACGAGCTCCCTCTTCCAGTTATCTCAACCATTTGTAGTATCACCAAATAGGCCTACCTTCTCAAAATCCTGTCACTTCTGAACTTAGACATCATAGCACATCTATTCTGTGGCACTCCTCTTCTACAGATATTTTATTTAAAGGATGCTGTGGTAGCTGTTCTTCATAAATAGCTATAGTGTAGTCCTTGGTCCCAACTTTCATGCTGTTCAGTCATATGGTATATGTGTATGAAGCATTTTCCAAGGAGTGGGGAGTTAGTGTTACACCAGCCACTCCAGAGTGGTGTATAGCTCAACACCAACTGGGAACTGCTGCTCTTTGCACAAGTGCCTGCACTGTCACACTACTGCGATGGTGGTATTTGGCCAAAAACATTCGGAGAGTTTCAAGGTTTACACTGGTTTGCAGATAAATGCATGCAAGCTTCTTCACAGCTCCCAAGCCAGGCAGCTGCTAGCCATGAGTGCTGCTGAACATAGTGCTGAGCCTCAGCCTGAGCCTTGGAGAGAAGTACAGCAAAAACACTTAGTGCAGCTGTGCAGTGTTCAGCTGGCTTGGAGCATCTGTCAGCAGAATACTGCACAGTTGGGTACCAGGTAGCCACGGCTGACCTGATTTAGTATTGAGGGTAGTCACGTGCTAGGTGGGGACAGATTAATGGGTTACTCTTAAGAGTGAACTGAGAGCGTGCCAGGTAAACTCACATGGATCTACTCTGTTATGAAAGCAAAGGGTTTGCTTAGTCTTTGCTTTTGGGGAGAGGAGAGAAGAGGCAATAAAGATGGACAGTTGGGTGATTAATGCAGGTGACTATATGAAAGGACTGTAAAGTCCCACTGTTGAATGATTCTGTTTAGTATTCTCTATTCAGGTATTTTTCTCATGAGTTTATATGAAGTCCCTAGAATTTACAGCTGTTCTTTCAAGCCTTTATTGTAGCTTTTCTATACTGTGAAGCTTGCTGCCTGGTTTAATGGTTTCACTAAGAGGAAATAGAGATCTTCCACACTTGGAACAGTAACTCTTGTTACAACACAAAGTTGAATTACTTTTAAAATACCACTGTACAATTTTACTTATAAAAATAAATCATATTTTGCATAAATTATGAGAAACTAGAAAAGGGATCACAGTTCTTTTGGATTAGGTCTGTCAATTTCCATGGCAAAAGCTACTAAATAACTGTAAGGACTTTTGTTCCTTCTTGGTCTTAAGCTAGTTTGATACAGTGACTTAGAGGTAAATGAAACCTGTGCAATGTCCAGAATCTGAATCTGACAAGTTCTATTTTCTTAGTCTGATGGAATGAGATGACTCATTTTTAAATGGAAACTTGTTAACATATTTATACTGATGTGAAAGGTGCATTGCTAAACTAACTCTCAGCTCTTAAAAGGCACCAGGAACTGCGTATCTTTCAACTCCTTTCTCTTCAGTACATCCAAAATTCAGTGCCTTTTGTTTTAAGAAGTGGAAAAATATAAACCAGCAAAAGTACTGGGTGCACAGTCCTGAAAAGTGTTACAGATCACCTGGGACCACATGGGTGGAAGGTTTCAGAGTAAAAGGGGGATGCGGGTAAATGCTGCTGTTCATTCGCTACTTGCTCCTAGGTGGAATAGGCTTTTAAGTAAGAAGTAAATCAGTCCAATACCTAATAGGTATATGTTCTTGTGCTGGTGTCTTGCAAAAGCAATAGCTTATTCTCTATTTTAGGTGGGTACTTCTATCTATAGTAGTTGGACATAGTGATAGTTTGTTGGAAAAACCAATACACAGAATATTTTTTGACCTATATTAACTTAATGTGAAATATAACCTATATGTAATATACTTAAAGCTACGTTTTCCGGTCCTTTGCATGCCTCTAGAACTCTATGCTACTTTTGTATTTTAAAATCAAGTTTTTCTGGCATATTCTCTGTGTTTCTTTTCTTGTTATGAAATAGATTGTCTCCCTTGTTATTTGAGATATCTACCCAAGCTCATACGGAAGCTGACTAACAGAAGTGGCATGTAACCATTGACAGATTAGACAAGTTTTTCCTTGCATTTTCTTTCATATGTGGTGATATTAAATGTTTTAGGAGTGGGAGGTTAAAAAAACAAGAAGACAATTTAACTTGACAGATTATCTTCAGCAGTGGGAGTTCACAGTTACAAGGAAAAAATAACAGGTAAGAAATGTACTTTTCTATTTTCTTAAGTGGATTTAGTTTGGAATTTAGCTTGGCATCATACTAGTGCGTGAAGCATTACAAAGGTTAACAAATAATGCTGACTTGGTCCAGCTTAATGAAGGAATGGATGGATAAAATCATTAATCCCAATGTCCTGCTCTAGGAAATAGTATTCTTCAAAGGGGAGAACTGTGATTTTGGGGACTTTTTAGGTAGTGGGAGGTTTTTTGTTTTGAGACTTCAAAAGAGGTGTTTTGCTCCAGTTTCCAAGCCAAATCTCACTTCTGAGCTTCTTGCTGAGAAACATCTCTTTGGGTGTGAGCCAGGCCACAGAGAATATATTAACAGGAATTATTCTCCCAGCTGTAATTGAAACTGTGGTGGTGAATAATGGGTTACTTTCTTTTTTTTAAATAATTTTGATCTTCATTAGGTTGGATACATACATCTCTATGGTAATTAATTAGCGGGTTCCGTGGGTTACTGATTAAGGTTTTCACCTGGGTTCAACTCTGGCAAGTTAAAATAAGCCTGATGATTTTTATTTTAGTTTTTTGTTCCTTTTTATGTCACACAACCAGTAGAGCATTCAGTGCAATTATAATTGGTAATGCAAAGAAGCCCTTCAGTTGTGGGAGGCTGGTATGTTTGGAATACTAAGTCCATAGATGACGATGATGATAATACAGCCACAAAGAATGGTGGGTAAAGGCACCAGCAAACAGGCAGAGAGAATAGGCTCCTGGGATCATGAAGCCAGTATCTGATGGTTTCTCTTTGGAGAATTAAGGTGTTTGTTTTCATTTGAATATGCATAGCTAAT